AAGCAAAATTGTTATGAGTGCGGGGAGCAAGGTCACTACAAGAGAGATCGTCCTAAGCTGAAGAAGAAAAGAGGGAAGCAGAAAATAGATAATTCGGCAAATATTGTTGACACTGGCAATAATTCTGATGATAGTGACTATGTAGGGGAAGTCTGTGCTGTGAGTTCTAGTCATGGGCAGAATTCTTGGGTTCTTGATTGTGGTGCTACTTTCCACATGTGTCCACACAAGAATTGATTTGCAATTTACAAGCAAATGAGTGGGACTGTCTACATGGGAGATGATAATCCATTACTAGTAGAGGGGATTGGTAACATCAAATTGAGATTTTTCTATGGAATTATCAGTAACATTGAGTATGTCATGACCCAAAATCCCACCACAGTAGTCGTGATGGCACCTAGTATCTAAGACTAGGTAAGCCGATTTCCATTACATTTTTAAGTCATTTTTGTTTTTGAAACTAACAACGAAAATAATTACAATATACAACCTCCCAAGATTGGTAGTACTGAGTCACGAACTCTAACTGAATACGTAGAATGATCACGAGGACCGAATATACAATATTGTTTGATTACAAGTTAACAGTACAATGAAATGAAAAGACTCCAAGGGACTGCGAAGACCAAGAAACTCTACCTTGAATCCTTACGATCGCGCTTTAACTCTGCTCAAGTACGTTATCTTCAATACCTGCCTCTGCACAAAAATGTGCAGAAGTGTAATATGAGTATGCCACGGCCGGTACCCATTAAGTATCAAGACTAACCTCAATGGAGTAGAGACGAGGTACGGTCAAGACACTCACTAGTCTAATAACCTGTGCAATATAATATACAAAATACTAGGAAACAGATAGCAATAAGGGCAGGATAAAACAATCAGTGGTATGCGCAACAAGATAACAAGAATACCATAAACATCACTCAATAATTAATAATATATGTGCGCCCAATTAATTCAAGTTTTTCAAATAAATATCCTTCACATAAAATTCTTTCAAATAACTCTCTTTCAAATGTAGTTTTCTCAAATAATTATTTTTCAAATATAATTCTTTCAATAAATCTTTTCAAATATAATTTCCTCAAATAATTATCTTTCAAATACAATTCTTTCATATAATTCTTTTTGAATAAAAATCCTTCCAAATAAATATTTTGAATATAATTCTTTCAATTAAAAAGTCACCATGTGACACCTCATTTCATAATCATAAAAAATACGGGTCTCAGCCCATTTTCATATTTTTTGTAAACACGGGTCTCAGCCCATTTTCATATTTTTACGGCATCTCGTGCCCATAATTATATCATATCACAACTGCACGGACAATTCACGTGCAAATTATCATCATCATTTCATCACAACACCTCGTGCCCATATTTTATATCACAACTGTACGGACAATTCACATGCCAAATATCCTCGTTATTTACTCACGGCACCACATGCCCACATTTTAATTTATAATATGTCTGGCAATAGCCACATGCTCTCAATTTCAACATAAATCAGATTGTTATCAATTTAGCAATAACAAGACAAATTGCACAAGGTATAAAAGTAAACACAAGAAAATCACAACATCACATGAAAATTATCAACACCACAACCCCACATCATCACATATCGTCCCTGACAATAGCCACCCTTATCGCTCCTATTGCCACCCTTATCACTCCTATAGCCACCCTTATCGCTCCGCCCAGACAATATTCTAACAAACACAACAACAGTGAAATGCCACCTTTATACCCACATAATATCAACGGTGAAATTCCACCGTTATCTCCCCAAAATAATAACTCACACAATACAATAATTTACACGGAAAATTAACACGGCAACATAATAAAATCAATTCATATCACAATTTGCCCAATGGCCACAACCAAATTCCAAAGATATAAAAAAATCAATTAATTTCACAACAAATAGCCCAAAGCTCCACACAATGTATATAACACCCAAAAACAATCAATAGAGATAGAAATTACTCAGCATAAAGCAAAACCTTCATTAACGTAAATTTAGATAATTATATTAACACTTATTCCTAAGCTCGCTTAAATTAATTATTTGCATAAGAAAATTTATATTGGAATAATTTCCAAGAAATACTAAACCAACAATACTCACGAAATTTCATAAATATTTCAAGTAACAATCACATCAAATTATCATATAAAAACATGGAGCTATTGACATCATCAAAATTCGAATTCGAGGTCGTTTACACATAAGTCAAATCTCCGGTCAATTTTTTTTATTTAAGCTTCAAAAATGAGAATTGTTCTTTTAATTAAATTTTGAATCTCGGCCACACTCGCGGGTCATAATACATATTACGAAGCTGTTCGAGACCTTAAGTCACTGAACGGGGTGTAAATTCTTAAAACGACAAGTTGGGTCATTAAAGAGTGTTGGCATGTTCCTCGGATAAAGAGAATTTTGATTTCTCTTTCGACTTTGGATGATCAAAGGTATAAATTTCACTCCGAGAATAGAATACTTAAAGTGTGTAAAGGCTCCATGGTACTCATGAAAGGTAAATTGCATTCTAAATTGTATCATCTTCAGGCCAGTGTAGTTAAAGGGGAAGCTGTTGTAGCTTCTAGGAAAAGTGATCTAAATCAGTCTCAGTTATGGCACTTGCGACTTGGTCATATGAGTGATAAGGGATTGTCTTTGTTGAGTAAGCAGAATTTGCTGAATGGGTACAAAAGTCAAGTTTTGAATTTTTGTGAGCATTGTGTGTTTGTTAAGTAGACAAGGGTAAAGTTCAGCAAGAAGGCCGAGCATAAGACCAGAGACAAGTTAGATTATATACATTCAGACTTGTGGGATCCAAACAGAGTTCCCTCCAAGAGTGGTGCCAGATATTTTATGACTTTGATTGATGATTACTCAAGGATGGTATGGGTGTATTTTCTGGAAAAAGAAAAAGATGCGTCATTTCCAAAATTTGTTAAATGGAAGATGATGGTTAATAGGCAGACGGAAATAAAAGTTAAGCGTCTTCAAACTGACAATGGGTTAGAATGTTGCAATTTTGAGTTCGATAATTTTTGCAGCAGATAGGGCATAGTAAGATACCGCACTTGTGTCGGAACACCACAGTAAAATAGTGTTGCAAAATGTATGAACAGAACGCTTTGTGATAGGGCACGAAGCATGCTTTCACACTCATGTGTTAGTAAGGATTTTTGGGCTGAAGCATTCAATACAGCTTGTTATTTGGTCAACAGATCTCCATCCACACACTCATGGTGTCAGTGAATGCATAGAGCTAGAAATTGAATCTCTACTAGCTCAGTCAAGTTGTTCTAGAGTAGAGGAAGTGAAAGAGGTGTAAAATATTGATCAAGATGATAATGTTGATGCACCTGCACAACAACAACCATTTAACACTGCAACAGGCAGAGAGAAGAGAGTGATCAACCGACCGCAAAGGTTTGCAAATGTAATTGATGGAAATCTTCTTGGACATACGAATCCTGTGGGATTTGCTTTGGCAGTTGCAGAGTTCGTTGATGCGTTTGAGTGTTATAGCTATTCAGAAGCTATTTCGGGTACAAAACCAATCGACGGATTAGTTCTATGGCTGAAGAGATTGAGTCTCTTAACAAGTTTAGGCATTGCCTAGACTTGGTTGATGTGTGCGGCAATGGGTAGAGCCCTTGCGAGGGATGAGGGCAAGTTAGAGAGACGTTGTTCCTGTTAGTGAATAGAATTCAAGCCAAGGGGAAGATTTGTTATTTTGTGATTTGAATTATTTTCTTGTATTTTTAAGAAACCCATAATCCCTATAGGTTTAGGAAAACCCATTGTCCTAATAGAAAAGGAAAAACTATCTTCCTTGTCAATTTGGAAAACCTTTCTCTTATAGGTATGTAACCTTTTAGGATCTATATATAGGGGTTGTAGTTAAGGATTCTATAGATTGTACAGTACTTTTTTTCTCATTCATAGTGAAAAACTCTCTCTACTTTTGCCCCAAGGATTAGGCTTAGCTGAACCTCGTTAAATTCTTGTGTTGATTTTTCTTCTCTATTTGCTTTATATGTGATTGCGTGCTAGTTAACCCATGATATTCCGCAACATAGAGCATTCAAAAAATAAAAAAAATAAACACGCAAAGAAGGTAAGAGGATTCATCATCTAATATATATATATATATATATATATAAAATTTGACACTGCATGACAACCTATAGCCTGTTCGGTCAAGCTTCTTTTTGGCCAAAAGTATATTTTCTTGGATAAACATTCTTTTTATTTAACCAAAAAAGTTCAATACAATACAGGAACTGCTGACCAGTTCCTTTACTATGCTCGACAACTAATTACTCTACTATAACCTATACAAGGTTTTGATTTTAACTATATCCTATACAACATCCTAATGCATATACAATCTGCACCATAGACAAATAGACATTACAATGACAGAACATATAAGCTAAAATTGTCTAAGGAGTCCAGTTCAATGCCTCCAAATGCTTCTGCCAACTAAGATATGAGTTTTCTCTGATGTGTATATGGACTGCAATCTCTACACATTCTATCTGGAAACGAACTGCCACTCTGAAATTTGATCTTGTTCCTATCTCGTCGTATAAGATATACCATCATGCCAAAGACAACTGAGACAATTGTCCCAAATCCCTTCTTTTTCCTAGCACAGGTTGTCACCTATTTCACCTCTTCTTGCCATGTATTTATCTGTCTTGGATAACCAAGCCAATTAAGAAGCCTTTTCTAGATATTCTTTGTGTATTCACAACCAAATAATAAGTGTTCAAGGTGTTCTTCATCTAGCCACAAAATACACAAGCTTGAGGAACTTGAATACCGATTTTTTGTCGCCTCTCAACAGTAGGTAGTCTACCCTGTACAGCTAGCCATAAGTTGAATTTGTGTCTAGGATGTATATGTGGTTGTAAGATTAGGCTCTTCCATTTTACCTTTTGGAGTTGAGTGATTTGCATCTGTTATAGCTTCTTGATGCTGAATCTTCCATCAGTACTCTGCAATTTCCTCAGTCTTGAAGTCAGGTCACGCTGCATGGTAGGTAGATAAAGGATAAGCTTCCTGAGCTCAAGGATTTTCCTCACTACCCAGGCTGCATTCTTATGTATAGACATAGTATCGATAGTCTGGTTCTTGATGTAGTAAGCATGGATCCACCTGATCGAAAGAAAATCCTTCTTCTTTGTGATATCCCATAAGTGTTTTTTCATTGTTGCTTTATTCCAGTTATACAAATATATAACATTCAGTCCTCCAGCTGCTTGTGGCATGCATATCTTCTCCCAAGACACCAATTCTTTCCTAGAGATATCTGCTTTACTTGTCCATAGGAATGTCCTGCATGTGGCTTCAATCATATTCAACACCTTCTTTGGCAATAGAAAAATATTTGCCCAGTATGACTGTACACCAAAGATCACTGATTTTATGAGCTGCAATCTTCCCAAGTATGATAAAAGTTTTGATGTCCAACAACTTATCCTTGCAGTGATCTTTTCTACCAGTGGCCGTCATTGGTTAATTGACAGCTTCGTTGATGCTAGTGGCACACCCAGATATTTGAATGGCAATGTGCCCTCATTATAACCCAAATCCTGCAAGATGTCCTCCTTCAGATTTGCAGAAATGCCAGCAAGGTAAATAGAGCTCTTGTCTGCATTTTTCCTGTAATCCTACAGCCTTTGAGAACTTCATAAAAGCCTGTTGAAGCAACCTAATAGAAGGGAGGTCTTTCCTACAAAACATCAACAGATCATCAGCAAAACACACATGGATCACTCCCAACTTTTTGCATCTAGGATGGAAGTGAAACTCTTTGTTCAAAGCCAACTGATCAAATTCCCTCTGTAAATATTTCATGGCAAGCACAAACAGGTAAGGTGACATAGGGTCACCTTGCTTTATTCCTCTTTGGCCTTTGAAGGGCTTAGTGAGACCTTCATTCAGTGTTAAGGAATAAGTGACAGTTGTTATACATTCCATTATCCACTCAATAAACTTATGTGGGAATCCCAGTTCAATCATAAGTCTTTTTAGAAAATACCAATCCAATATGTCATAGGCCTTCCTAAGGTCAACCTTAAGCACACACCTTGCTGAAATCTCCTTCCTATTATAGCCCTTGAATAGTTCATGAGTGAACAATATATTATCAGTGATACTCCTTCCTTGAAAAGTATTTTTTTTTATTATTGCTAAAAGTGCTTTTTTCTAAAGTTAAGGTGTTTGGAAACTTTTAGAAGGAAAAAAAATACTCAAGTAGAACCACGAGCAATTTTTTAGAAGCAAAAAAAATAGTTTCTCCCTCAAAGCATTTTTTTTAAAAAGCTTTTGAGAAAAATATACTTAAAATTTTTTTTAACAACTTGGTCAAACACTAATTATTGCTCAAAAGTGCTTTTGAATTGTACTAGTTTTAATGTACGTGTGTTGCACGTGTGTACCGCATAAAATATGTTACCTATATTGTGTAAATGTAAATATTTTATTATATGAGATACAAGTATGTTGTGTTGTATCTCGCCTAACACCTATTTATAAATAATATTTTTGGTGTATATTCCCTTCTGTCTCTTTGACCGCTTTGTCAAGATTAAAGATTTTGTTATCGACATTAATATTTTTCTAATGAGTACAATATCTAATTGTTCATGTGCGAAATCATGTCTCAGCAAAAAAATATGTTCAACTTTTGAGATTGACATTGAGTTATATTATTGCAAATCATAAATATATTCGAAATTATTTTGAAAGAACTGATGTGTTCTTTTAACATAATTAGAGTCTTATTTGTTTCTTTATAATTGGGAATAGTAGTGAAACGTTCGGCCAAAATTTCAATATAGTGCTCTAAATTATATTTATGTAACAAACAAATTCCAGGAGTTAAATTTGTAAAATTATTAACGCTTAGACTTTTAACAATTGAAAAATATATCACTTATTAGGACATTTAAAACTTAGTGAGGATGCATAATTGAAGTATTCATGCAGAGAGGTCACATTGGCAAAAAAAATAAGCAAAAGGAAGTCATTCTACTATGCTCTTCACTCATGAAATCCCAATCTTGTTCGGGAATTAAGTCTGATCAATTCTTTGTACTAAATGAGATAATTTCTTCCAAGCTTAACTATGGAAATGCTCTCGAATAATATTAAATTATAAAGACTACTATATTACTTTCAGTCCTTGGTAGATATGTACTTCCAGCAGGCAATAGAGTCAAAATAAATCTATGCTTGAAAAAACTAAATACAAGATATAATGTGAAAGAAAGAGGAGATACTTAACTACAAATAACTTAATACATAAAATATCAATAGAACTACATACATTAATTCATATTGTTGTTTTGTACTTCATCTTTAACTTGCTAAAGATTCTCTTGACAATATACTCTGTGCAACCCGCTTTGGTCCTTCAAAGTTCAATTTAATTATAATATGAGTGACTGCAGTAAAATTAAATTTATTCATAGCTTCAGTCATTAGTGGTATCTTACTAATTTGATACCTGTTACACTATATTTCGTAAAGATATAATCTATTCTGAATAAATATATCAAATAACTTGATCTCAATATTGAATTAAATTAGCTGAATTGGATAAAAAAATGTACTAAAAAAACAAATAGACTATACAAACGTCACTCAACTAAATAAAAATCTTGTGTTTCTATTAGTATATGCAAGATATATAGAAAATAAAAAACAATTAATGCATACTACAAGAATAAAAATAATTGAACGTACCTTAGAAACTTTAAAAAATAATAGAATGTAAGGCCTTCAATTATAAATCAATACTATTATCCGTCTTAATTATACGCTTCGCTACGAGAAAATTAAAGGCTTTACTTGCAATTACATTTGTTTACTAACTCACCAGCATCTAGAAAGCTAATTGTAACGACCCGAAAGGTCGTTTTGAGTATTTGCACTTCGCTCGGTAGTTTGGGGATACGAGTAGCTCCGTATGATGTATTAGGACTTGTGTGCAAAATTTGAGTTCATTTGAAGTTAATTTGATATGTTTCGGCGCGGGTTTTTGGAAGTCCAAAGTTCGAAAGTTCATTAAGTTTGATTTGAGGTGTGTTTCATCGTTTCAATATTGTTATGCATGATTTGAGGCCTCGAATAAGTCCGTGTTATGTTATGAGACTTGTTGGTATGTTCGTACAATGTCCCGAGGGGTTCGGGTGAGTTTTGGATAGAATTAGGTTGTGTTGCGCTCGTTTTTCTTATGTTTCACCGTCGTTTCTTCAAGCATAAATGGTACCACATTGAATAAAGGAGCTCCGATTTCTGTTTTGGTTGAAGCATTAGATCCGTATCATAATTACGGATTCGTAGCAAAAAGAATCGTCGAATTTTGACATCGTATGAGGATTTTATGGTCATTTTACTAAGAATTGGGTTGCTAGATTTTTCAGATTAATTATGAAATTGCCAATGACTTCGTATTTAAAAATCTGCACTATTTTTAAATATTTAAACCAATATATCTCCTTTATTATAAGGTCAAATGGAGTGATTCAAAAGCCTATCTTGACTGCAATTTCACAAGGCATCCATTGGAGGCATCAAAAGCAAGTTTTGGGATCGTTTGGCATGCAAAATGAGACAGAACAGCTGGGCAAAAGTACTTAATATCAAAGTTTGTTCATTTGGTCATATTTTGAGTTCGGGAGCTCCGATTTGGACAATTGTTTGGAGGCAATTTTTACCAAATGGATTAGGGTAAGTGTTCTATACTTGATTTTGGTTATATTTCATGAACCCATCTTCGTTTTTGGCATTTGATTGATGATTTCAAAGTGAAATTTGGGGGTTTTGTCTAAAATTTCATAAAGTGAATTTTTGAGTTTTGAACATCGATTCGGAGTTAGATTTGAGTGAAACTAGTATGGTTGGACTCGTAATTGAATGGGTTGTTGGATTTATGAGTTTTGTGGGGTTCCGAGGTGCGGGCCCGGGTTGGGCTTTTTGGCCGATTTTGGGCTTTTGATTAAAGATTCGACCTTTTTCGATTGGGATTGGCTCCTTTAGCATTGTTTGATGTATTTGAGTTGTTTTTGGTTAGTTTTGAGCCGTTCGGAGGTCAGAACGCACGGGATGGCATTTTTGGAACATCGTTTGGCTTGCTTTGTATTGGAATTGGTTTGTTCAAGGTAAGTGACTCTTCTAAACTTAGTGTTGAGGGTATAAAACCCTACAATACATGTTATGTGATTGGTTTTGAGGTGACGCACATGCTAGGTGACGGGTGTGTGGGCGTGCACCCTGTGAATTGGGACTCTGAGATTCCCATGGAACTGTATAGTGGCCCTATCTTGTTGTTATTTGTGTCTCCATCCTGTGATATAGTAATTGAGCTGGCAATCATGCTAGATATCATGCTTAGACTTATGCCGATACTGTTTGGACTCACTGAGGTCATTTCTGCTGTGGAGTTATGTGCTTTCATTGGTTTATATACTCAGTCATACGCACTCATATGCATATCATATCTCAGTCTCTGCTGTTATTTTATTGATACATTACATCATCATATTCGGGCTAGTTTCATGACATTGTGAGCCCAAGAGAGAGAGACTGGAGAGATTGATGACTGAGTGAGGCCGAGGGCCAGATTGTGAGGATATTTATGGGATCGGATTGCACGTCGCAACATGTTTATTTATGAGATCGGGCTGCACGACGCAGCATATTTATTTATGGGATCGGGCTGCACGCCGCAGCATGTTTATTTATGGGATCGGGCTGCACACCGCAACATATTTATTGATTTATGCCATGATTGATTTGATATAGCGCTTGGGCTAAAGGAGCCTCTCCGGAGTTTATACACACCCCCAGTGAGCGCAGGTACCTACTCAGTGCGAGTGACGAGTGATTGGGAGGACTGAGTGACTGTGAGGACTGAGTGACTGTGAGGACTGAGTGAATTGATACTCTGAGAGCTTGCATATGGTTTTACCACTGAGTTGCATCGCATTTGATATGCACATTTGACATACATGCATAGAGATGCATTTTTCCTCATGTTATATAGTATCACGCCATTCATGACTTTTTACACATATTAATATGTGGGTATAGAGAGGTGTTTTTATTGCACTCGTTATTTGGAAAGAAAATGAAACTTCTTACTTATTGGTGAAAGGATTTTGAGAAAAATCACAGTATCCAAACTTACCTATATTTTTGGCATTTTCGGCAAAAGAATTGAATTTTTACTAAGATATTTGAAAAGCATACCTAATTTCTGAAACTGTGAACGAGTTGAGCATTTTTACTTCTGGGATACCCCTTTTATTACTTGTATTATGCTGTTGCGAACTGTTGTAGAATACCGGTATGAGACCCAACCTTGTAGTAGCTCGTCACTGCTTTCGACCTAAGGTTAGGTTTGTTACTTACTCAGTACATGGTGTCGGTTGTACTGATACTATACGTCTGCACATTGCATGCAAATGTTGGTTGCAGTTGTTGCTGTGTTCGATGGTTGCTGGATTTGAAGATGTACCCGCGTCCCTGTTGTAGCTGCCTCTGTTGTTCGGGGTAGCCTTAGATTATAAAGTTCTATTTATGTACTTTTCAAACAGACTATATATTTATTTCATTCCCGCTTTATAAATTCTATTCTTAAAAGTTCATGATTTATACTACCAGTCCTTGAAAAATGTATAAGATTTAGATAATTACTTATGTTTAGTTGGCTTGTTAAAATTATTGGAATTGGATAGATATTTGTTGGCTTACCTAGCGGGTTGGGTTAGGTGTCATCACGACTAGTGAATTTTGGGTCGTGACACTAATCATGTAATAGTTTGCATTCTTTGGTTCTTGCACGTGATGCTGTTGAACAAGAATCCCTCGAAACTCATAAAGTATGACTTTCGTGGGGCAAAAAAACTCTAGGGTAAAAGACAATAACAATAAACCTAGTTTTACTAAGTAATTGTTTTTAAGAGTTAAAT